AGGCTATCACAGCCAACATGGAATAAGTCACCTCACAACTGCTCCTCACACTCCTGAACAAAATGGAGTGGTTGAACGCCGTCACCGGCATATTGTGGAGACAGGAATGACTTTACTCCATCAAGCTCACCTTCCACCAACCTACTGGAATTTAGCATTTCAAGCTGCAGTCTATCTCATAAATAGAATGCCTACACCACTGCATTCTCTCAAATCTTCCTTTGAAGTTCTGTTCAAATCTCCTCCTAATTATCTCAAACTTCGAGTGTTTGGATGTCTGTGTTTTCCGTGGCTTAAACCATACTCTCAACACAAACTGGACCCTAAGTCACGGTCTTGTATCTTTGTTGGTTATTCTACCTCCCAAAGTGCCTACAAGTGTCTCAATCCCACCACTCATAAGATTTTCCTATCACGACATGTTCGTTTTGATGAATCTGTCTTCCTTCATTGTTCAACCTCCCATCCTGATTCATCACTTCAATCTGAGTCACCACCTCCACCTCTCCTTACACTTGCCACCTCTGTGCCTTATGATTCACCTGCCTCAGCTCCAATTCTGGAAAATGCTGGTCATCATCACCTGCAATCCGTGCCTTGCACTAGTGTCACCCCTGAGATCTCATCCTCTGATAGTGATACTCTACCTACGAATTTTGCTCCTTCTGTTGCTGCACCAGTTGTTGACACACAGTCTCCTCCAGCCACCCGGATGGTCACACGCTCCATGAACAATATTCATAAACCAAAACGGATCTATCTTGCTACCAAGCATCCTATACCATTCGCTTTGGAACCAACTGGTGTCCAGCAAGCTCTCAAGAATCCTCACTGGCGTCAAGCTATGAGTGAGGAGTTTACTGCACTTGTCCGACATGGTACCTGGAAGCTGGTTCCTGGTGACTCACGCCAAAACTTGGTTGGCTCAAAATGGGTTTTTCGTATCAAGCGTCACTCCGATGGCTCCATTGATCGCTATAAAGCGCGCCTTGTCGCCAAGGGCTTTCACCAACGTCCTGGCCTCGATTACACTGAAACTTTCTCACCAGTTGTGAAGCCTGCCACTATCAGAATTATTCTGTCACTTGCAGTCATGAATGGTTGGTCTCTCCGTCAACTGGACGTGAACAATGCATTCCTGCATGGCCATTTAACTGAGGATGTATTCATGGCCCAACCAGCTGGGTTTATTGATCCAGCCTATCCTCATCATGTTTGCCATCTTCAAAAGTCCATTTACGGACTGAAACAGGCACCGAGGGCCTGGTATCGTGCCCTGCATGACTGTCTTTGTGGCCTTGGCTTTGTAAAATCAGCCTCGGATCCATCTCTATTTATCTATCATCACCACACTATTGTTGCTTATTTTCTTGTCTATGTTGATGATTTGATCCTCACAGGAAATGATTCAGGCTTTCTCACCACCATCATTGCAAAGCTTGGTGCTCAATTCTCCCTGAAGGATCTGGGGCCTCTTCATTTCTTTTTGGGAGTTGAAGTTATCCCAACATCTGATGGTTTATTCCTTTCCCAGCACAAATACATACGTGATCTTCTGCATAAAACCGGTATGGAATGTGCTAAAGATGTTACTACACCTCTGGCCACCTCCAGTCTGCTTCAACTCAATGATGGATCAAGCCCAGCTGTAAGCACTACCTACCGAAGTGTCATTGGTGCTCTTCAGTACCTTGCTCTAACTCGTCCGGACATTGCTTTCCCAGTCAATAAGCTGGCTCAATTCATGCACTCTCCCTCTGAAGTTCACTGGATAGCTGTCAAGAGGCTCCTACGCTATCTAAAACATACCATTTATCATGGTATCCAGCTTCGTCGCTCGTCTGCACCTCAACTTCTCGCCTACTCTGACGCAGACTGGGCAGGGAGTGTGGATGATCGCACTTCTAATTCAGCCTACATTATTTTTCTTGGAGCTAATCCCATCTCCTGGTGCACTAGAAAACAACGAGCTGTTGCTCGCTCATCCACCGAAGCCGAATACAGAGCACTCGCCAGTACCACCTCTGAACTTGCATGGCTTCAATCTCTTTTCCATGAGCTTGGTGTCACCATGAAGTCCCCTCCAAAACTTCTCTGTGATAACATTGGTGCCACTCAGTTGAGTCTTAATCCCGTACTCCATTCGAAGATGAAGCACATTGCCATTGATCTACACTTCGTTAGGGACTACGTCACCAAAGGCCTTCTGCAAGTCGCTCATGTCTCTACTATTGATCAGCTTGCTGACTTACTGACCAAAGCCCTGCCACGACCCTGCTTCCAACTTCTACGATCCAAGATTGGTGCCACTGATGGGAGCACCATCTTGAGGGGGCGTAATAGATGATTACAGAAATCATGCACAATAATTTCTCTCCCAGAAATCATGCACAATAATTTCTCTCTGTGATCAAGGCTGAGCATGATTCTAGGAGTTAACTATGATTTACTTACCTAGTTTAGCTCTTGTAATATTCTGTACAGAATATATGTTCTTTCCTTTTTGATAGCATTAGCCGTGTATATAAGCTTATCACTATGCAATACAAATTGTAACAGATTCTCACAAAAACACACCACTGTGTTTAATTCCTTTATATCAACCGTGTGGGCCTTCGTGCCTATAAAAATCACACGTTATTATATGGAAATCAAAGGACAATTAATCGTTCCTCTATATAATTATAAAGTATGACAATTATTCAACCATTGTTGGTGGTGGGGTGGGAATCCACCGAATAGCTAATGGATACTTACATCTATAATAGTGAAAAAAGTGTTGGCTCTCTTTTAGGTAGATGCTATCCTACGCAATACCATATTATGCCCAACAACAAATTCCATTCGAGTTTGTTCCAATAATCTGCTGACTAAATTTGCAGCACTCAACAGATAAATAAACGTATCTTTTAAAATATTCTCCACCAACACATTCGTTTTTCACTTGTCATATTAATCTTTTCCTGACACACCTCAATTATATATATCCAACCTTCTATTCTCTTTGAGCAAACAATTAGCATATTGTTCGTTATTTCATAAATACATTTAGACCAGTAAAATGCACGTAGACGTGACATCAAATTGAGAAAAGTCGAAATTTCAATACTCGATGCTATTCTCAAGAAGGACCATAACATCATATGTCGTTTTCACAATCCTTTCAAATTCACTCATATATAATAGGAGTACATATATACACACGCAAAAAGAAAAATTCAATTAATGTTAGCATCTCCATCGTACTAAAGTTGGTTATCATGTGTCTTTCAGTTATTTCACATTAAAGTTGGCAAGTATACATGCCTTTCAAGAGGCTTTTACATGCATGACTTTGTATAATATCTTGATGTTGTGGATAGAAATAGATTCAAATTATGGGGTCCATATTAATCTTCTCATGCGATAAATTTAGCTCGTGTTTGACTCCAAACAAAAATCTTTATTTCTCATACTTATTTTTAGCCACACATTCACACAATAAAATATTCTGCACGAAAATTCAAAATTTTTCTTATTTTAATCATACATTCTCTATGAAATCTGTTAAGAATTGAGGTTCCATCTTAAAAAGTCAACCTTATTAAGAGGAGTAATCAAATCATTTATAAGTTGGTTTATGTTTACATCTTTATTCAATGTGAGATTCTATCCCTTAACACGCCCCCACAAGATGGTGACTTGTTTGAGCAGACAAATCTTGAAATCCTATGCTCACTTTTGGATCAGAGTTTAATGGGCTCTGATACCATGTCAAGAATTGGAGTTCCATCTTAAAAGGTCAATCTTATTAAGAGGAGACACACAATTATTTATAAGTTGGTTTATGTTTATATCTTTATTCAATGTGAAATTCTATCCCTTAACAAATCACTATTCAAAACATTATCGTCCCCAAAATTTTCTCTATAATGACATCAAATAGGGGATTGGTTTCCTATTAGGATTGGGGTGTGTGTTGTCCCTTTTCCACGAAGTGGCCCTGTTGGAAAATAGGGTAAGATATTTAAATATGACTCGTTGGTCGCCTTCCGAGTCCTAGTTTCCTTCCAAATTTGGATTGAAAGAGGACTTTTCTTGAAGAAAAATCGAAATTAAGAATTAACAACGACAAATCACTAAAATCAAGGACAATATTTTAATGAAAAATAAAATTTACCTCAACAAAAGATTTTGGAAGGTTGAGATTTTAAAATATGCTGTGAGCTGAGGAAAAACTGAAAAGCAAAGCAAAAAATCCTTAAGCACAAAAGCTAATAAACAATTTTTGTAGTATATTAATATTTTACTTTTTCCGGGGGATCCACTACCATTTTTCTTACTATTCATATTTATAAACCATTGCCAACCGGAAGCTAAAACTCCACCTTTCCATCTCAACAATCTAAAATATTTTGCCGCCGGCGGCAGCATGCGGCCATCACTTATTAATTAGCCTCCACTCCATGGTCTCATCATAGTCAACAGTCCACCCTTTATTACTCATTTTTTCTTAAATAAATTGATGAGATTCGAATATTTATAGGCACTCACATAAACTCGAACAAAATACGTGAAGTCGTACAAATTTACGTGCATCAAATATATGCAAATTCATGGGTTCTAATCATACATGATGAATGACATTGTTACTATGTCACTAATTATCACAACAAATCTTCAAGCCTAAGAGTAATATCATCTTGTTTAGTAAGGTTAATTGTACTAGTACTCGATGATATTAAGAAACAAAATTAAAATATTGTGTATTGCAATGTCTAATTCAATGTATGACACTAGTCCAAATGTGCACTAAAATAAGGTAGCACATGAAAGAATGCATGCAGTGGCGAAATCACATAGAGAGACCAGGTTTAAGGATTTATATAGAAATTTTTAATATATAAATAATGCATATATATTTTACCATGGCAAAATTTTTCGCCGTCTGAGAATTCTAGCTCCGCCACTGAATGCATGCATGCTTGTGTTAGTATGTAAGAGACAAATAAACAAGATGACTAACCATTAGCGAGATCAAGCATGAACTCAGCAGGATTCATGGCGAAAGATTGCGAAAACCCGATAGACTCAAAATAACTCATGGCTTCATCGCCCTTTCCAAAATATATGCACCTCCCCTCAGACAACACCAGCACGGAGTCAAACATCTGGTAAACGCGACTCGATGGCTGGTGTACCGACATCACCAACGTCTTCCCCTTTTTCGCCAGAGCCGCCAGCGTCACCACCAGCCGAAACGCCGCTGTGGAGTCCAGACCCGAAGTTGGCTCGTCGAGAATCAACAAACTAGGGTTTATCAGCATTTCGTGTCCTATACTTACCCTCTTTCTCTCCCCACCAGAAATCCCACGTAAAAAGCTGTTCCCTACCACTGTATTTTCACATTTCGCTAAACCCAGTTCAGAAATCACTGATTCGGTTATAGAAATTTTCTCCTTCTTTGATAATGAATTGGGCAGTCTGAGAAGTGAGCAGAAAATTAGTGTTTCTCGGACTGTTAAATGGGGGTAGAGAACATCATCTTGGGCTACAAAACCAGTTCTCTCCAGAATTGGCTTTGTGAATTTCTGGTCGTTACAGATTATTGTTCCGGTGAGACCGCGGCCGTGGTGTAGCCGACCTGCCAGAGCATTCAAAAGTGTCGATTTGCCGCTGCCGGAGGGACCGAGGATGGCTAAGAGTTGTCCCGGCACCACCGTACCTGTAATCCCATTCAAAATAGTCCGTTCCCGAATCATTTCCGCCGGATTCTCCACATCGGACGATGAAGTCGGCCCACCGGAAAATATCTTCTTTATGCTGCTGCCTCTTGGTTTTTTGCTCTCCGACTCCGCCTTTACTCTATAGCAAACATCTATAAACTGTATATACAGTAAAACAAACAAAATCAATTATTATTAACTGGAATCAACATTTTATCAGATCTTTTTCAACAAAATGTGAGTAAACAAGCCTATCAAGTGTACATATAAGATTGTTCTACTTAAGTATTTCAATAATCCAATATATGTATGTACCTTGAGGGTGATTGGATAAAAAGAAGACATGATGGAAGGGAGGCTCAGGTTATTGCATCCTCCGTTAACGGAAGTTTCTGCTGCAGAATCACTAGACGCCGCCATTGTTTTGTTTAACGATACAGAGAGAGAGAAGGATCCCACCACAACCAGCCCACAAAGTATTTATTAATCAATATTGAGGTCGATCACAGATGATCCTGTCTGCCTTTACTGAATTTGGTGCTTCCTTTGTGGTGAAGTGAGATGGGAATAGTGACGGCAATGGATGTCATTGGCTCCGTTGGATTCAGCACGATTCGATTTGAATTGGCTTGAACCAATAAGAGTCAAGGTGGACCGTGGACTGTCTTTTTGGTTAAAAAGTTGAGTCAAACCATGCTAGATGCCTAGATGGAAACATGAGCCAAGCCTATTACGTAAGAAATGTCCTGAGGCAAGGTTCAAATTAATAGTTCTTTAAAGTATATCCTCAATTGATGTGGAGCGTGAACTCTCTTTTTGGTTAACAAGTTGAGTCAAACCATGCTAGATGGAAACATGAGCCGAGCCTATTAAGAACTTGTCTGATAGAAATTCTCAGTAGTTTTTAAGCTAAAAAATGACCATTTTTTTCAACTGGTGAGTTCCATAGTGAGACCAAAAGTCAATAATGGCTGTCTTATTTCCTTCTAACGCTTCAAAAAGCCATATTTTTGGTTGAAAAAGCATTCCCAATTAACAGGCTATAAGTAAGAAATATCCGAGGTCAGGTTCAAATTAGAAGTTCTTTAAAGTATATCCTCAATTGATGTGGGATACCATTTGAATATGAAGGGAGCATGTTAGTACGGGTAACTCGAATTTCAATAAATACTACTTGGACTTAGATTTTGAACTTGATCTTGGATGAACTTTTAAGAAAAGTGATTGCATCATTTTGCATCAATTGTTAGTAGAAGTGAAGGTCTTGTGTTTGATTATTCTAAAGATGAGAGAAAAAGACTGACATTACTTGAACAGTAGAGTGGACTTTTATTATAAGGGATTCTCAAAGTAATATTGCTTGAGATATAAATACAACTTGATTTTGATAGGGAGGTTGATTGTTGTGTCTCCAAATAATATGGGACATAAATTATACATAGAATATATATATATATTTTTTTTCATTAATCAATTATAAGATCGATAATCCAAATTCTATAATGCATATTTCGTGTTTGAGTTTCGTTATTTGATGTAAGTGAATATAGTTTTAACTCATATTTAACTCGTACGTCACCTTGAGAAATCAATAAATTTGAAAAAAAAAAATTGCTCAGATGAAAAATAAGATGACTGAAAAAATTGGTCCACCCGGGTCGTTAGGTTCCCTCAAAATGGACTGTATATGGGCAAATTCTTAACTTAAAAAAGAAAAAATATATATATAAAAGGAGAAATCTAGAATTTTGGATCCCTTTGAGTTTGACCACGATCGAGGCGAGGGCCATGCCTGCCTCGCCTTAGGTCCAGCCCTTCCTCACATGTAGCTGGAAGTCCCTATTATGTCGCGCCTCAAATGTTGCATTAATCAATTTTAAAAAGTCACCAAGGAAATAATAGGGACTTCCAACAACATGTGAAAGATATTGTCCAGGTGCAAGGAGGAACATTATCATCAAATCCTCCGTCTCATTATATCGACAACTCTCGTGCATAAAATATTCCACAGCCACACATTTAAACAGTTAAAATTTGGGGTTCCATCCAGTATTTTAAAAAGTGTAAAGTGTGGCTAGGTGTAGAGGTGAAGTTTCAAATTTTACGAGTTTAAACGAGCCTAAACTAAGGTTTAGGAGTAAAAGAGCGTTTTTTTATTTTTAATCATTTTAAAAATCTTTTAATAATTAAAATAATACATATCAAACATCTAAAACTATAAAATACTATATTTACTAGAAAATTGATAACAAAAATCCGTAGGCTTACTCTTTGCATCCTCATCGTGAGTATTTGATGCAGGAGCATCCAATGAGGAG